GATTCATAACTGGCTGTAACTACCGTACCCATCACTGTACCCTGTATTCACTGGTTAACTGGTCATCATTAATTTCACTTAGACTCTCTCACAGATACAATTTCATCTTTAAATCACTTCTAGGTCTGTTGCCGTCATACATCACTGCGTGAGTGCAGTTACAGCGTGCACTCAGGACATTATTACATGCAGTGTTCTCTCAGTGAGGACTAAACTAGGCAAAAGGGCCTTTTTCTACTCTGCTCCTGTATCCTGGAGTATCTTGCAAAAAGATCTGAAGCTTGTGACTTTGACTAATCTAAGTTGCTTCAAACATCTGCTAAGTTCACAGAAAAGCCAATGCAGACATGTTTCTGTTTTTAGTATTATACATCGCTTTACAACCTAGTTGTTTCTGTTGCATTTGTTTTCAATACCATTTTCTTTCATTTGTTCGTTTCAGTTTGTAAGCTTTTTTTTATGATTGTCTTCTTGTCATCAGTCTTTGTTGTTTGTGGGCGGCTGTGGCTGAGTGGTTAGAGCAGTCGTCCTCCATTGCAAGAGTTAGGGGTTCAAATCCACCAGCAGTCACATGCCGAAGTGTCCCTGGGCAAGACACTGAACCTCTCATAGCCTCTGATGTGTGTCCCATCAGTGTATGAATGTGATCTAAAAGCTCTGATTAGTCTCTTTAGAATGATTTGTTCAATTAGCTTTGTAGAGATCTAGTGTAGAGCTGTATGAATGGGTCAATGAGGACACAGATTGTAGTGTAAAGAGCTTTGAGTATCTTGAAGTAAGATCGAAAGGTGCTATATAAGTACAGTCCATTTAAAATCAGGTCTCTCTTGTAAATGAGTCCCCGAGGCTCAATGGGACTAACCTGTATAAATAAAGATTGAATGAGCTACAATTACAGCTGGAGGTTAGCTGCACTGTTAGCTAAAAATGGCTAGCTCATTAACAAAACTAGTACAAGTAGTAAAACTAGCTAAATGTCATCAATGGTAAAAAGAAGAAAAAAATCTAGCATTGTGCCAAAAGTAGTGAAATGCTAGCAAAGATCAGGAAAGTGAATTAAGTGCCATTGGAAGCAAATTGCAAGTAAAAAGCAAAATAAATAAATACATAAAATAGCTACAAATCAACATCCAAAAATGGGAGGAATAATAAAAAAAAAACCCTCTGTTTTGGAAGAAGCAAAATGCTATCAGGAAGTGGGAAAATGCTAGCAACTGTACCAGAAGCACCCCCAAAACAAGCAGAAAGCAGGGAGAGCTAGCTTGGAGCCGGAATTGGTGAAACATTAGCAAAATGCAAGAGAACTTGACCTAAAAGTCTAAGGTTGCTGTTAAAAGTAGTCCCGTTTTGAGACTGGGTCCATTTCTTTGAAGTCTCTTTGGGTTGTTTTCACCCGCAGGAGTGAGAGATGGAAAAAATATATATATACATTATATAAACATTATCCTGTATTAACAAAGTCCATGCTCAATAATCCAGGTATACAATCCAACAATTTTCAGTCAGGTCATCTGACATAAATTTTTGTTTTTTTAAACTGTTCAGATGACTTGACTGATAATTGTTGGATTATCCTGTATTTTTCACAAACAGTAAAATATGTGGTTAGACTCTGAGCCCCAGTAATATTTATGTTCAGGAGGTTTTTCCTCTAGTTTCTGAGCAGCACAAACACAATCCTGTAATCTAATCGTGTTACTGTTCATGCTTGTGCGTTTGTTAGGTGACCTTTGACCTCTGGAAATTTAAAGGTTTGTGTTCAGGCTGTCCACACAACAATACAAGGGCATACTTTTTTTCATTCTGGAAGGCAATTTAAAAAAAGCACAGTTTAAAGGTTGAAAGGCTAAAACATGAAAAAACTTTTAACAAATTCCCAAAATGTTCCCACATACGCCTCATGTCACTAATTATTCCATAATTGTTTTAAATCATTGACTCCGTTTGAGAAATTGGTGTTTGTATGTGCTGGAATGGTCACAGCATCATACCTAATGCTTTGTAAAAACAACTTTGATCACTTGTGTTTAACATGATTATTTTTGTTTTATTTCAGGGTCAACCTGGCAACCCTCGCACTGGGTCATGTCACCTCTGCTGTTACGGTAATCTCATGTTTACAGTTCGTTATCTACTTGTAGAAATGGTGAAACTGATAAACATACATTTTGTAACATCAAAGTGTAACATGCAAATAGAAAAGCATATGAAGAACATGACGGGAAATTATCCTAAATTGCAAAATATATTTGAACATCATAGTAGCTGTGTCTGTGAACTGAGATGATTGTTTAAATCCAGTTTGTCAGTATCTGGAGCTTATCTGACAATTAGGCCTTAATAAAACTTAATGTAGCAAGAAGAAAACCCACTGACTGGTAGAAATAAGTTTTGAACACATTTACCGTCATGTGCACTGCACTCTGTGGAAGAACCTGGATCAGACATAGGACAACCCCAGAAGAAGAAAACGTACACCAATCTATTTTTTGTCCCCCGCTGCGTAACAAAGAGGGGAACTGGAAATACTGTCAGTCTGTCCGTTCATGTTGTGAGCATAACTTGGGTGGCTGTGGCTGAGTGGTTAGAGCAGTCGTCCTCCAATGCAAGAGTTGGGGGTTCAAATCCACCAGCAGTCACATGCCGAAGTGTCCCTGTGCAAGACACTGAACCCCTCATTGCTTTCGATATGTGTCCAATCAGTGTATGAATGTGATCTAAAGCTGTGATTAGTCTCTTTAGAATGATTTGTTCAATTAACTTGTAGAGATCTAATTAGCCCCTTTTCCACAGTTCCTCCTTGGCCCCCCTTTACCCTGCTCAGACCGGTTCCGTGTTCTTTTCCACCGGGCCTTCTTCGTGGAACTGGCCTGGTTTTTAGTACCTACGCAACATTTTTCAGTCAGGTCATCTGGACAGTTTCTTTTTTTTTTTTTTTTTTTTTTTGGTGCGGAAACGTTTTGCCTTCCATCCAGAAGGCTTCATCAGTCAAGGAAACACACAACACAAAACTGATTCTTCCCCCAACAGCTTACTCCAAAGTGGAACAAACCATTTATGTTGGTGATAAGATGGTCTCTTTGGTACGCCCTCTCTTCCATTGCCAGCCCTCTTCCTTGTTGGCAGTCGTGTCAAACTGGTTGAAAAAAACAAAGTCCATGCTCAACAATCCATATGACCTGACTGAAAAATGTTGGATTGTATACCTGGATTATTGACTATAGACTTTGTAACGTCTCTGTGGTTCCATTGAGGACAAGCAGGACCCTAAGACTTGATGTCAGCGCACTGTCGGTCATTGATTGGTCAGGGAGAGGAGTCACTGGATCTTTCAGAAACTTTTCACACCGATCCGCCATTTGTAATTTCTCTGAACCCGGAGCAGCGGCTGGATCTATTTTAAAGATTTTTTAAAACAATATTGACAACACCGTGATCTAATGCTGAAGTGCAAATGTTTTTTGTGCTTGGTGGCCAACGACAACATTCAGACCGAGTTAGATAGAGCTCTGCCGATCTCCACCATCCTCTCTACCAGAGCCTCGGAGCAAGGTCGGGCAGGGCATCATCTCCCTGGCTCCGAGCTCCTCTGGTCACTGTGGAAGATCCTTTGTGGTGCCAACTCGGGGCTCTGGCTCCAGATCCCGGCCTTGCGTGCTCTGCAGGCTGCTGACTCGAGCTGCTGACTCACAGAAGGCCATTGCCCGGACCCCGGCCTTGTGTAATCATGAAGGCCAAACCCTGATTCCAGCAGACAGACGGACTGGTACGGGTCTGGGATGGACAGTGGAAACGATTTTTAGAAACATTTTATTTATTTATTTTTATCAGTGAAGATTAAATAAATAAATGGTGCTGGCTTTATCATGAAATCCAGTTTTCACTTTAATGGCTATTTTTTTTTCCCCCTTGTCCTGTCCGACATTGTGACACTCAGAATTATTGTCTGAGTGTCAAAGTGATGCCCAACAGATTTACTTTCACAAGCAGAGCATTATGGCTGGCCTTAATGCTCCACTTGATATATAAATTAAATTTTATTAGAATTTGCTTTGGGTTTGTTTCAGATGTAATGGACACGGGGATGAAAAACAAAGAAGAAAAAGCAGAGAAGTAAGAGAAGAGTTAAAAGGTAAAGAAGGAGATAGGAATAGAGGAGAGAGAGAGATAAAGAGAACACAAATCAACATCATTGAAGTCTGACTCTAGACCTGCGGAAAGAAAAGACAAGACAAAACCAAGAAACCACAACAACAAACAACATATATAATGTCCTGATGCATACTCAATAATCCAGGTAGAAAAATCTAAAAAAGTTCAATCTGGTCCTCTGGACATTTAAAATAAATAAATAAATAAATAAAACAAAGCAAAAAAATGTAGAAACGTTTCGTCTCTCATCCAAGAGACTTCCTCAGTCTGAGGTGCTGTATTCAGCTCAGTCTCTTAAATAGCACCTTCTCAGAGTGGATCAACCAGTTTGCTGCTGACAACCAAAACCAGCTGATCACATGCTCAAGAAGGACCATCAGCCTAACAATGGATCATTAGCACACTGATGGCTGTTTACTACTCACAGAGGGCTGAGTGATACTAGCAATCACAGCATTGTAAGAGGGGGACAGTGTGGGTCTGTGCCTGCAGTCAACCTACTTCACATATGGGGAGCAATATTATAG